CAAACATTGCATTAACTACAGTGCAATACACATTTATATGGGGAGCTGGGGAACACAAGTATATTCCTCAAATAACAATTACAAAGAATGGAAAATGGTTTCAAGATGACAAAAGATACAAATATAATAAACTTTTTGATTAAATAATGTTACAAGTGTGAGGGGACACTTAGACAACTTTGTTAAACCAGAACAATGGTCAAGAAACCATACTGCAGCATGTTTTTTATATTACTTTTTATATCAGTGGGTCAACTGAAAATAGCCTGCTCGTATTTTAAATAGTACATAATAAATGTAAAATACCCAACCTCCACTCTGAATTGCAAATGGCACACCCTGGGACATGCCCTGCAGCAGCCCACTGGGTGACATAATACAGGAATGTAAACTAATTATCCAACCAACCTATTTAACCCATTAGCTGGCAATGTTAGCATTCATACCATTTTAGGATCCTTTGTGACATCCTTTCCTCCACCACTCCATAAAGGACCAGCAAAAAGACGCTTGAAGCGGCTGGGAAACTCAGTTTCCATTGTTTCACGCCACAACCTGAAGTCCTCAGGCTCTTTAACCTACACAAGAGAAATACATGTATAGATCAATATGTATTTAATCAATCTAATTACTTATTCATATATATCCTAAGGGATCAGTGGACAATGTATCAGACTAGTGTACAGTGCCCAGTGGAAAATCCTTTCTACCAGCAATTTCTACCTGTAGACCATAGTTTTACACCTTTTACACCATAGTTTTAAAATATTCTACACCTACCTGCATAACATTTGTTGCAGTGAAAAACTCCAACTGGTATTCTATTAATCCAAATGGCATTCTATTCAGTGGTATTAATGGTGTTCCATTTTCTCCAACAATGCACTGTGACCATTTATAGACAAGGTTGTGTTTTTTTTGCATCCTGCAAAACTTTCATTGCTTCAATGGATAAATTGACAAAATTAGAACAGTTACCGATAAGACCAACTGAATGAGATAGATTAGAAAACAACTTATCCAAAATTCCTTTCCAAGTGCAGAAAACATTGGCAGTGTAACACGTTCCACATCTTTCATATTTGATAATTGGATCTTTAGTAAGACTTCTGACAGAACATTAACAAGCATGTTGGGATGCAGGAGTCCAAGGCCTTCTTTAACCACATCTTCAAGCTGCTCGGGTGTAAGCTTGCTCAAACGTGAGACAAGAAATGTTGGGGTATTTAGCATACTTGTCGGTGTTTCCGAGTTCTCATTCAGAAAATCTCCATCCAGGATGGTGTCAATGGTCAATCCATACCCTTTTTCAGCTTCTTCAATTGTCTTAAATTTTGGCCTTAAAATGTTGACAACTCTTTGACGAACAGAGCGCTCTAACAAATTACAGAGTAAGCTACATATTAACAAATTTATTTGTGAAAACAGGGAAAGTGATGTTGGTTTTGGTTCTGACTGTTGAACAGTTGGTGATTACCAATGTAAAAACTGTTGCATAACTTTCTCTTTCAATGGTTATTGACAATCGGTTGGTGTCAGGTTGTGGAACCAACACAGCACTCAATAAACACTGAATTTTCCTCAATTAATCGACCTTGTGTACTATATCAACTGTCATACTTATGGTTAATTATCACTATTTCTTATTGCTTTCAATCTCATCACCATAGTTTCTACTAAGCTGTGGCAATCTTACCAGTTCGCTTTTCTGATGAAGCAGTTTCCTGTACATATTTTGCCGCTTTATGCCAATATTGATGAGATGCTTTCATTGCAGGCCAGACAATATCGGTAGGTTGTTCATCTTTGTGCAACGATACAAACTGAACAAGTGCTTTGTCCTCTCTTGTGGTCCAAGGAATATGCTGGCTCTTTGGTCCTTCATTGCCTGTCTGATGAGACTGTGAGGGTGCTAAAGGCGACTTGTTTTCCTGTCACAGATTTAAAAATGATCATGTATATTAGCCTCAAGATTTATCATTATCTATGGTCTTTATTCCTGTAAAGTGTACTGTGTAGCATGCTGTAATGACAAATAGTAAAATATAGATCCCTTTTATGTTTAATTAATACATATTGCTGGCAGTGCCATTTTGCCCATTTGTGATTCACTATAAATCACTGGACACTGGTATGACAAATTATGCATATATCACATAAAAACATTGACGAAGTCTTGGGAAGTTTCTTGCCTGTATTATACTTTTGTGTGCCAAAAATGTAAATAAAACAAGGGTTTCAAGTTTAATTAATAAATTACCTGTAGTTGGGAGGAGTGATAATCCAACCTTCTCGATGCTTTTATTATTTTTATATTGTCCTCAAGATTATCGATTGAAACCAGTGGTCGCTTTCTGTTTGCACAGGCTCCAAAACTGTCTTTAACGTTCTCTGTTGACATTTTACCTTCCTTTCAAACTACATTTTCCTTCTTTAAAGTTTTATTTTGTCAACCCTATATTTTTGTTTGCCAGCTTCGCGAATTTGTGTGCGATATTCCAACTTTTGGCATACTTTTGGCATCAAAATTATGAGGGCTATACATCGCTGAGTAATGGGGACCTTTGGGGACCTTTGTTATCAAACAGGAGGAATATTGCCATAGAAACGATTGATTTCATCATAATACCCAAGAAACCTTCGAAAAATCCGTATCCATCCATACAAGTACCATATCCACACGTTGTGTCGCCTAGCGAAGCCTGCTTGATTATTAATCGGTCGGTAAACAATGATAAAATTCGTTGTTTATTTAAATTCTAATTAACTTTTTGCATTGAAAGTAATCGAGAATAAATAAAACCTGTATGAATTGGTGAATATGTTGTGATGAGTGTCTCTCGTTGATTCAATATATTGGTCTGAAGATCGTGTAAATACCCCGCGAAATTTTCTGCCATTTTCTGAAAACCGGAAGTCGCTCGCCGAAAGAAAGCGCGAGGCATATAGG